GTACCCTCCAGGTGAGTTTTGGCTGCTTTTGGGTGACTTTGCAGGGTAACACGGGGGTGGTCGCTGCCCTTCGCCCAGCCAGCACGGCCCCCCCTGCGCTGCTGCAGCCTCTGAGCCACCTCCGTGTCCCCCTCCTCCAAGTTCAGCAGCCAGGTGCCCCTGGGTTGGGGACACTCCCCCCATTGAAATGCAGAAAAAAAACCCAAATTTTCCAATTTTATTTTTTTTCTTTTTTTTTTTTTTTTCATTTTTCCCTGCCCAGCCCATGCCATGCTGGCAGGACGGGGGCAGGGGATACCCGTGCAGGCTGGAGGACGAGGGCACAAAGGGCTTTTCCAGCCCTCAGCATCACTTCATCTCAAACAGGGAAAAACAAAAAAGCAGAAATGCCAAGTTACCAAGTACCAGCCAGCGCTGCCACACCCGCGGGAGCTGTAAGGCATCATTGTCCCTTTGGGGACAGCTCTGGGGTGGTGACATTCAAGGTTGGGGACAGGACTCACCCCACAAGTCACAGCCGGACCCGTGCAGGGCAAGGGGGGCTTTTTGCAATACCTGGACTTGAATTCAGTTTTGCTGCTCTTCCCGCTGTTACTACTGATCGTGACGAGAACCTCTTGTGAAATCACTGTCTAATAATACGTATATTTTTTTTAAGATGCTGCCAATAAATGTTTCTGTGCTCAGTCGGGCGCGTGAGGGTGGGCAGGGGTTGCGTGGCATCGAGGACGGGCACACCCAACGCACCGGGCTCCCTTGCTGCCTGTCCTAAATCCTGGGGATTTTCCATCCTATAAAGCAGTTAGCATCCCGCTAAAGGCGGCTGCAGGATGGATGTGGTTTTGGGCAGACAGGGCTGGCTCTGCCCTGTTAGTGCCCGTCGAGCACCAAACCCAGCATTTCTTACCCCAAATCTGTGCCCCAAGACAAAGACACATTTTTCCCCGGTTGTTGCGATGGGAAGGATGAGGCTCATCCTCAGGGCAACAGGGCAGGGGAAGAAGAGCCCTTTTGAAGCACGATGCTGTTCATTTTAATTTCAATTTGTGGTCTTAATTAGGATATTCAGCAGGGGGGGGAAGCTGCTGGTGATGTCCCTCAGCTCCGGTGCCCAACCTTTTGAGGTGCATTGCAAGAGAACCCCCCCAGGTTATTTATTCCCCCCCAAACTGGAGGCCACCCGTGTCCCTCTGCGCACCCCTGGGTTTGGGGTTGGAAGAGCAGGGTTTGGTGCTGAGCTGCAAGGGGATGAGGCGCTGTAAGTGCGACACGTGCCTTTACCCCTCCTTCCCCCAGCAGCTCCCCCAGTAAAACCAGAGCCACAACCAGTCTCGCCCACACCTGCCAAAAGGGAACATCGCGAAGATGTGCTGTAAAGCTTTGTAAAACCCAATGGAGAAATTCCTTGTGCTTCTCCTTGGGAGGGAGGTTCAGCTCCGCTCAACCCTGTTAGACGGCGGAGAATCCAGATAGCAGCCCTTGCGAAAACCCATTGATTGAAGACAACTTGGGGAGGGGTGGGGTGGGATTTCGGCAACCAGGCTGCTCCTGGCTTGGACGGGCGTCCTCTGTGCCGGGTACAAAACCGGCTGGGTGGTCGGGCCCAAGGAGTGGTGGGGAATGGAGTTAAACCCGGTTGGGGTCGGTCACCAGTGGTGGTCCCCAGGGCTCGGTACTGGGCCCAGTTCTGTTTAATGTCTTTGTCAATGGTCTGGAGGAGGGGATCGCGTGCACCCTCAGTTTGCCGAGGACACCAAGCTGGGTGGGAGTGTTGA